GTATCACTATGGAAGTAGATCAGTCGCCCAACCTTTCTTCTGAGGAGTGGCTGGTGAGTTTGAACTGCCAGCCTTCTGGTTAGCAGTCAGTGCCCTAGGCACTACACCACCCTCCCTCCAGCAGCATAGCAACACACAAACCACAATACAACAAATTGGCAGACAAGTGGTAGCTTCAATTGCAGTTCCTAATAATGTCCAGCAAAAGTCTCTGAGTGGAACAGATGGTTAATGTGCTTGGCTGCTAAACCAAAGGTTGGAAGTTTGAGTCTACCCAGAGGCACCTAGGAAGAAAGACCTGATCGATCTACTTCTGAAAATTCAGCTATTGAAAACCCTATGGAGCAATTTTACTCTAACACACAGAGTTGCTATGAGTCAAAATCAAGTTGACTGGCAACTGGTGGTTTTAATGTCCAGTAAGTCTTTCTACTCTAATAAGTCTTACTTCTCATTAGTAGAATTCATCTTTTCCATTTTATTTCTTGGACTCATTTTTAGTATTGTTTTATTTTTCTTTTGCCTGTTGACATCCTTCAGAATCCTTATGTCTCATCTTGTAATGAAGGAATCTCCAAGTTTTAGCCTTTATCAATTTCCTCTTACTTAAATTCTGTCAGAACTGGTTATTTTTAACACTTGATTTAGTGAGAAATTACTGCTTTGTAGTATTACTTATCAAAAAACAACTGTGTAAAAAGGCTATGAATATATGGTTGTGGATGGAACATAATCCCTGGCCTTGTGAAGCTTACTGTTCTTGTTAGGTGCTGTTGAGTTGGCTCCAATTCATAGAGACTCTGTGTACAGCAGAATGAAACACTGCCCGGTCCTGTGCCGGCCTCACAATCCTTGCTGCACCTGAGCCCGTGTGTCAGTCCATCTTGTCAAGGGCCTTCTCCTTTTTCATTGACTCTCCACTTAATGAAACTTAATATCTTTCTCCACGGAATGGTCCCTTCTGAGAACATGACCAAAGTAGGTTAGACGAAGTCTGGCTATTCTCACTTCCAAGGAGCATTCCAGCTGCACTTCTTCCAGGACAGGTTTCTTCTTCAGTCTTCTTCATTCATTGTCCAGCTTTCACATTCATATGAGGCAATGTGAAGCTTACAGTATAGTGATAATGAATTTATTTCCACTTCTGTGCTTATTAGTGAAATTGAAGTCTTTTCATATACCTCTGTACATATGCACTATTCACACACTTTTAGATACATAGTTCTAGTTCCCCAACTAGATTGTAAGATCATTGAGGGTGATGTTAACTATATTTTATCCTCCTCTGTTCCTTACAACACTTAGTTCTGAGCAGGTAACCATTACTAAGTGTATACTCTCTCTATTAAGTGCCATCAAGTCAGTTTCAACTCATAGCAACCCCACATGACAGTACAACTGCCCCTGTAGGGTTTACTAGGCTATAATCTTTATGGAAGCAGATTGCCAGGTCTTTGTCCTGCTGAACCACTGGGTGGGTTTGAACCGCCAACCTTTCAGTTAGCAGCCAAGTGCTTAATTAACTGTTGCACCACCTGGGCTCCTTTCTCTTTTTATTAGGATAATAAAAGTTGAAAGCTGTGGAGTCACATACCTATCCTCAAATTACAATTCAAGCAAGACCTTATGAACTGTGCAACACCTGCAAGTTACTTTACCTCTCTAAGCTTGTTTCCTTCTGTTAAATAATGGTTTCATAAGGTTGTTGTGCATTAAATGAGGTATTATATGGAAGACATTAGGTCAGTGCTTGATAGATAGTAAGTGTCCATTAAAAGTTACCTGCTATTAAAATAATTGTATATTTGTTTAACCTCTCAAGATAGAACCTGCTTCTGTGACTCTTTTTTCTTTTTTCTTAACCCCTTTCATCTATTCAGTTAACCGTTTCTGTCCAGTTTACTTCAATTATTTTGTAAATTTGGGCTCTCTTTTAATCCTCATTGTAACCCATAAAAAAAATTCATTTTGTATCATGGCTTAGATATGTGTTTATATCTCACAAAAAGTTTTACAAACTAAGAGTTATTGTTACTGTGTGTGATGCACTCTAATATTTTTGTTTTGTTATATGTCATTTAAAAAAAAAGCTGGTCACAAGTCAGTAAAACTGATTTCACAGCACCCATTAGATTTTTGGAATCTGCAAAATTTGGACTACTACTGAACAGTATTGTGCTCAAGTATAACTTTGCCACGAAAATAGAACTCAAAGACCAAGTACCTAGGGCTTAGATTTTATTTCTTTATTTCAATTGCACTGTCTCTTTGTTCTCCATTAGTTACAAATAGTTAGATTTACCTCCTCTGAATCTGCTCTCCTCTGAAGCCATGCATATTCCAGAGTTGATACAGAAATTAGAGCTTGTAGACAGTGCTTCCCGTCTTCAGCAGAGCAAGAATTTCTGAATCACTTTGTGTATTGTTTTCCTTTGGACAGAAATTAAGATAAATTGATTAAAAAGTAGCATAATATCTAGAGAGGGACTTGAAAAATATTTATTATGAAAAAGTTTGAGACATTTAAAATAGTAGGAGGAGTAGTATAATAACCTCCATTACTTAAATCCAACTTCAGTAATTATCAACATTATGTCGATTTCAAAGGAATTTTTAACAAAGGACTTTAAAAATACACGTAATTCCCTTCCATGATATAGATAGACAGTGTTTTTCAGAGGAGATAGATCAGCCTTAGTGTACCTTGCTTTCATACTCAAAGTTTACTCATTTTATGTGATCCCTGCAGGAGCGTGAGGGAGTAGGGCTGGGGTAGAAATCTTCTACCCTATTTGGGGGATTTTTCTCAGTTCCTCCCAGAACATTGGACCTTTGCTATTCTACTAGAAGTATTTCAACACCTTCTTGTACCATTCTGCCTTCATATCACCTTCTTTACTACCACTGAGAAGAATAGGAATTCTAGTACACTTAATTGTGCTCCTGAGGAACCTGTGCATGGACCAGGAAGCTGTCATTCGAATAGAACAAGGGGATATTGCATGGTTTAAAATCAGGAAGTGTGTGTGTTGGGGTTGTATCCTTTTACTATACTTACTTAGTCTGTATGCTGAGCAAATAATCTGAGAACTGGATTATGTAGACAAATGGGGCATTAGGATTGGAGGAAGACTCATTAACAACTTGCAATACGCAGATGACCCAGCCTTTCTTGCTGAAAGTGAAGATGAAGCACTTATTGATGAAGATTAAAGACTACAGTCTGCAGTATGGATTACATCTACATAAAGAAAATGAAAATCCTCACAATTGGACTAATAAGCAGCATCACGATAAATGGAGAAAATATTGAAGTTGTCAAAGATTTCATTTTACTTGGTTACTCAATCAACACCAATGGAAGTAGCACTAAAGAAATCAGACAATGAACTGCACTGGGAAAATTTGCTGCAAAAGACCTCTTTAAAGTGCTGAAGAGCAAAGATACCCCTTTGAAGACTGAGTGAACTGAACGGAACTCACTGCCATCAAATTGATTCGACTCATAGTGACCTCTCCTTAGGTTTCCAAGGCAGTATCTCTATGGAAGTTGATTGCCCAGTCTGCCTTCTGAGGAGTGACTGGTGTGTTTGAACTGCCAGCCTTCTGGTTAGCAGTCAAATGCCTTAGGCACTATGCCACCAGAGCTCCCCTTTGAAGACTAAGGTGTGCCTAACCCAAGCCAGGGTGTTTTCAGTTGCCTCATATGCATGTGAAAGCTGGACAGTGAATAAGGAAGGACCGAAGAGTTGATGCTTTTGAGTTGTGTTGGCAAAGAATACTGAAAGTACCATGTACTACCACCAGAAGAACTAACAAATCTCTCCTGGAGGAAGTGCACACAGAATGCTCCTTAGAAGTGAGAATAGCCAGACTTCATCTCACCTACTTTAGTCATGTTGTCAGAAGGGACGATTCTTTGGAGAAGGATAATCATGCTTGGTAAAGTGGATGGTCAACAAAAAATGGGAAGGCCCTCAACGAGATGGATTGACACAGTATGGCAGGGATTGTGAGGCTGGCACAGGACCTTTCTGTTGTACATAGGGTCGCTGTGAGTCGGAGCTGACTCAACAGCACCTAACAACAATACCATACTACCATTAGATTGGTTTTTAAAAACGGCCTGAAGGTAAGGAGAAGCTTAATCTTATGTTTAAAAACCTTTGGTTCTTCATTTTCTGCCTATGAAATAAAATCCTAAACTGTAGATTTTTCATTCATAATCTGTTCCCAGCCTACCTTTCTAACCTTCTTTCCCACTATCTCTCGTTTCCCTATTATATTCAACTTCTTATCATTCTCAGAATACTCAGTCTATTTTAGGACTTCTTATTTTTCAAGGTCCAATTTAGGTATGTGTTACAAGTTGAAACCTTTTTAAATACTCCAGAAAGAAATAGTTCCTTTGCTTGTGGTTGTTGTTTATTTGTTGCATTGTTTGTGTGTGTGTAATATACTTAAATTAGTTACCTTAAACTTTTCTCAGTTTACATTTGCCCTTCTCTACACCCTCAATTAAACAGTGATGTCCAGAACAAGGATTCTTGTTCTTCTTTGTCTCCTAAACAGTTCTTTGGTGCTCACATATAGTAGGTGCCCAATAATGGTTTGTTGAATGAATGTATTCGTACTTATTTAGAATTTTAGAGTCTAATTCTAACACAAGTTCTCTCCAGTTAGGAATAATTAATGAAAAATTTTTTTGTTCTTACATATTTTTTAGTATTTTTTTCTCCCTTCTCAGAAACTTTTGTTAAAACTTATAGAGAACTTAAGTTCAGACTTTAACCTGAGGGGGACATAAACTTAAGTGGTAAACTAGCATAAAGTATCCAGCTCCAACCTGTAGTACAACTCCTATAGTACAGGTAAGTAAATATCTACTTTTAAGATACTAAAGTTTTTTTCTGCTGTTGAACAGTTTGATTTTGTTAAGTTGGAATAGACTTGTGCTATAGAATTTATAGTGGTCTTGACCTATTTTTGATATATTTCAGCTCATGGAATGCTGTGTAAATGCCCTGGTGACATCCTTTAAAGAGACTATTTTAGCAGAATGCCAAGGCATGATCAAGAGAAATGAAACTGAAAGTAGGTAAAACATCACATACAGTTATCTGATCTTTTAAAGGGGTATCTTTGAAGCAAATCACTTAATAAATTGCTGTTTGATACATAGGCATATTTGTTAACATGAACTTTAAAGGCAGTGTTAAAATATTTAGCACAGTTAGAATCACTATTTCTAATCTTACATTTTAAGCATTTTCCCTTATATATTAATGCTATTTAGAAATACACATATACGAATTCAGAAGTATGTATACTTCTCAGAAGTAGGACCTTGCTTTTAAAGGCCAATTTACATTGTAAACATAGGGTATAAGTTAGAAATAGACATTTGACTAGAACAGTAGAACCTTGTAGTAAATCTTTTTCTTAATAAAAATATATTTTGGAGGCTAATAACTATAAGCAAAAAGAATACAGTAGAAATTACCATATTCCCACTACTGAGAGAGATTTTAATGTATTACACTCCAGATTTTATTGTATCTAACTGCCAGGTCCTGTTAAATCCTGTTTGCATTTAAAGTATGCATATAAATTCATTTAAGTTCATTTACTCTTTAGGAACATTTTGTAGTAAAAATCAAGATGCTCTTTGACGTAAGTGCAGTATTTGAATTCCCATACTCCAGTCAGAGTAGAGTTCTGTCTCATCTTTGTTAGACTCCCTTCAAAAGGTATTTAGTCATAACCAGTACCACATGTGAGGCAGGGTTTTTGTGAAGGTCATTTAAATGGTATAACATACAAGGAAGTGCCCTGTAAACTGAAAAGTTCTTTATGAATAGAGTTTTATATTGTCTCTAGTATATTTTTCTTTTATAATCATTAAATAATATGATTTTTACCCCTTAATGACGTGGCTATATATGTAATATTGTGTTTGCTTTATGAAATGTACTTATCTGCATAAACTTCTTTTGCTTCTTCAAATTAAAAATCATCATGTTGGGGGTAAAATTACTCACTTTTTAAGAAAAGTTCACTTTTGCAGAACATGATCACTTTTATTTTAATTTTTTATAATTTTGTTAAACTGAGAAGCTAGATTAGAAAGTCCTAACTATTATAACAACTGTTAAACCAGTTGAACCCACAGAATACCATTAGGGTATTCTAGGCCTTCTAGATGCATGAGATTACTCCAAAGAGAAAATTTATTCTAGTGGATGAAATGATTACATGTTATATCCTTTCAGAATTACATTTAATGTTTTCATTGATGGACAAAGTTCCTAATGGGATAGAACCAATGTTGAAAGACTTGGAAGAACATATTATTAGTGCTGGCCTGGCAGATATGGTAGCAGCTGCTGAAACTATTACTACTGTAAGTTTTCTTCAATGGCAATGATAAATATGTATCAAAGCTATTTTTAAAATGAAAGTTTGGCTTTTGAAATAGTAATTGAAATGGTAAAACTGTAATACTGAAATTACAGTATCAGCTGTGGAAACTTACCCTTAATCAAAACAATTTTTCTATCACCTTTTTTTTTTGTTTTGGGGTTTTATTTTATTTTTATTTTAATATTGCAGTGTTTCCTCCCCTCCTCTCCCTTCCCTGGTAACTATAATATTGGAATACTTTTTAATTTTATTTTTAAGAAAAAATTCTTCATAAACATAAAACCATATTTATATTTTTTTCATTTTTTAATATTTCTTTTAAAAACTCAATTGAATGGAAACCATTTTATTTCTAGGACTCAGAGAAATATGTTGAGCAATTACTTACATTGTTTAATCGATTTAGTAAACTGGTCAAAGAAGCTTTTCAAGATGATCCACGATTTCTTACTGCAAGAGATAAGGTATGGTATGTTCCTTTATATTAATACTTTGTATTAAAAGTGTTACTGTCATAATGTACTTATAATAAGAAAATTTGCATCGTTAAGTTACAAATAGAAAACCTGCCAACTTAATTTTCATCAGTGGAGGGCAGCTATATTTCTGTCATAGCAAGCAGCACAAGAAAACTGAGACAAGAGCTTGAGCATATAACAGTATTTGAAGAACTGAAGACTGGATATGATCACCAAAGTAATGAGTATTAAAGATAGAGGAGAGAAAGGCTCCAAGGACTGGCCTAGGGCATTTTGACATTTAGGTGTCAGAAAGATGAGGACCAGCAGAGGAAAATGAGTGGAATTCCTGGAGAGTGTGGAGAGAGTATGGGTGGGGTACTAGGAAGTGCTTTTAGAAGGAGTGCATGCTGCTGCTAGGGGACAAAGAAGATGGGGATTAACCATTGTGTTTGGCAAGGTGAAGGTTGTTTAGTGACTTTGCTAGGATGTTTTGGGTAGAGTGGTGGTGGGTAGTGTTAATGGTAGGAAAGCCTGATTAGAGGATTTCCAGTAAAAATGGCAGACAAGAAATTGGAGACAATGAGTTAGATATTTCAAAGAGTTTGGCTTAAAGGGAAGGAGAGAAGTGGGCTAGTAACTGAAGTTGGATAAAACTAAAAAAAAAATTCTGAGGAAGTAGAATGAGTGGAGTGGGGAAAATTGATGATGCAGAAGGAGAAGGAAATTGGTTTGGATAAGAGGGAATGAGATCTGGAGTCTGTAGTTCAAGTACAAGGGCTCCTTTTTGCTTCAGAGCAAGAATAGTTTATCCATAGTAATAACAGAAGGCAGAATATGAGCATGGATAAAAAAGTAGATGGGTGGTGGGTGGTCGGTGGAAGCCCTCTTCTGTTTACTTCAGTTTTCTTAGTTCAAAAAGAAGTCACGTCATCAGCTGAGAGTGTACAAGGGAGAGGAAATAATGGAGGTTTGAGGACAAAGGAGATGGTTTGAAAATGTCTAGGAGAAAAAGAGAAGAGCAGACAAGAGAATATGGTATGGTTGTCAGGCAGCATTAAGGCGCCACTTAAGAATAATACTTAGGACAAAGGGCAAGGCTTGAAAAATTCTATCAGGCCAAATACATCCTTATAAATAAATAAATAAATAGTGTATTTTTACTCATTTTGTAAGTATGAGCAATTCTGTACATTTTAAATACTAAAAATAATGTTCGTATTTTATCTCAACTTATTTTCAGGCCTATAAGGCAGTTGTTAATGATGCTACTATATTTAAACTTGAATTACCTTTGAAGCAGAAAGGGTAAGTTTTTTAAAACCATTTTCTTTAAATTCTTACTTTTTTTGCATGTATTACGTATTACTAAATATAAAAGATGCCCTCTTACCCTAATCCTGTTAAGTTTTATTTTATTGTTTTAATTCACAATCTTTGCTGCCTTTAGTTTAAAAAAAAAAAAAACCTGTAAAATATAAAATGCTGTCAATACCAGAACAGTTGGAGCTCCCATACATTACTGGTGGAAATGCAAAATGGTACAGAATGGTAACAGCCTCTCTGGAAAATTAATTTTCTTATAAAGGTAAATATATTCTTAACATATGACAGAGCACTTCCACTCTGGGTATTTACCCTAGAGTAATGAAGAATTATGGCCATATAAAAACCTATACATCAGTGTTATAGCAACTCTGTTCATAATCACCAAATATTATAAAGAGCCCAAATGATCTTTAATGAATAAATGCTTAAACAGTAGTACAGCCATAAAATGGAGTACTGCTCTGCATTTCAAAGATAAACTTACAATGCAATAATTGGGACGAATCTCAAAGCCAGTCTAACAAGTTTAAGATTCCATTTATATGACATTCTTGAAAGAAAAAAACTGTAGTGCCAGGGAACAGATCAGGGATTGCAAGGCTTATGTGTGGAGCAGGAATACGTGGTTACAGAGAGTTAAGTTTGGGAGATGGTGAAGCTGTTCTGTATCTTGATTGTGGTGGTAATTCCATTTGAATCTATACATGTATTGAAAATTTATAGAAATGGATAAGAAAAATTACAAATTTTATTAAATGTTATTTTAAAAAATAAAATGAAATAATGAAAAAAAACTTTTCAATTTGTAATTTTATATTATTTCCTTTGATAACCAGATAATATTGTCCTTATTTTTTAAATAGAAAAGAAAGTTTATTCTTAATCTTGTAGAGTTCCATCCTTATCTGTCACTATAATTACTCTTTTACCCATAAAAGCATGGCAGATGAGTCAGTTTACCATGATAATAGTTGAAAAATAAAAGAATCAATTTTAATATAAATTTTAACATTACCTTTTAAAAATACTGATTTCTTATTGGTAAGATAAATTTATTTACTTGTGCTAAGTACCATTAATGATGATATTGGTGGATCATTAGTAGAATTTTCACCTTCCATGTGGGAGACCTGGATTCTAGCCAGTATACCTCAAATGCAACCACCACTCATCTGTCAGTGGAAGCTTGCATATTGCTGCAATGCTAAACCAGTTTCAGCTTACAGATTAAGACAGACTAGGAAGAAAAGTGTGGCAACCTACTTCTAAAAATGAGCCGGTGGAAACCCTATGTGGATCACAGTGGTCCAAGTGCTATTGGGTATGGCTTGGCCATGAATTGTGGGTCTGCTTGACAGTAGCCAACAAGTCTTATTTAGTAAAAATCTGAAGATTAAAATATTAACAAATCTGAGGTATTATATAGTGCTTCCAGAGTAATGTTAAGTAGCACTAAAGGGTAATTGGGAAAAGACTTTTGATGCAGTTTCTAGCTGAAAATTACTATATTTAAAAATATTTATATATAATGCTAAAATATTTGGAAAGTACCATCGCTTAAGAACGGAAAGTAGTTTCAGGGTTTATTTATTTATTTTTTAATAAATTAATTATGCACTTTATCTTTTTTGAGAAGTGTAAGTGGTTTGAGTGATACTATAATGGTAGACATTTGAGTCATTCAGTGCTATAGCTATTGGCATACTTTACAAAACATATATTGTATTATAAATTGTGAAATATATGAAATACCTAACACTACTAAAACCTCTTCATATGAGTGTGTAGACATCTTCCTCATTCCCCACCAAACCCCCAGCATTTTATGATGAAATTTTTTAAATGTAAAGTCAAGTCACTATAATTACTTTACCAGGTAGTTATTACACATCCATCAACCGTTAAATGCTGATGTATAATTTCAAAGGAAATTAGAGGCATCAGTAACCTTTACTCCCTAAACACTTTATTAACAAAATAATTTGCTTTGAGGTAAATTTATAAACACATAAGCATAAATGTTGTTGTTATGTGCCATTGAGTCGCACCCGACTCTTAGTGACCCCTCCTTGGGTTTCTGAGGCGGTATCACTACGGAAGTAGATTGCCCAACCTTCCTTCCAAGGGGTGGCTGGTGGGTATGACCGCCAGCTTTCTAGTTAGCAGTCAAGTGCCTTAGACACTATGCTATCAGAGCTCCTATGTGCATAAATACTAAGTTATAATGCAATGAAATGTGATAGATGCCTCACCCAGCCACCCACCCCCTGCCTTTCAATGGACTCCAACTCATAGGAACGCTATGGGAGCTCTGGTAGTGTAGTGCCTAAGGCATTTGACTGTTAAATAGAAGGCTGGCGGTTTAAACCCACCAGCCACTCCTCGGAAGGAAGGTTGGGCAACCCTACTTCCGTAGTGATACTGCCTCGGAAACCCAAGGAGGGGTCGCTATGAGTCAGGGCCAACTCGACGGCACATAACAACAACACAACAACAACACTTCTGTAGTGATACCACCTTGGAAACCCAAGGAGGGGTTGCTTTGTGTCGGATCCGACTCCATGGCAGTGAGTTTGGGTTTTTTTTTTTTTTAGGAACCCTATAGGAGCTCTGGGGAGCTCTGATAGTATAGTGCTTAAGGCACTTGACTGCTAACCAGAAGGTTGGCGGTTCAAACCCACTAGCCACTCCTTGGAAGGAAGATGGGGCAATCTACTTCAGTAGTGATACTGCCTCAGAAACCCAAGGAGGGGTCGCTATGAGTCGGGTCTGACTCAATGGCACATAACAACAGCAACAACATAGGAGCTCTGGTAGCGTAGTGCCTAAGGCATTTGACTGCTACTCAGAAGGCTGGAGGTTCAAACCCACCAGCCACTCCTCGGAAGGAATGTTGGGTGATCTACTTCTGTAGTTATACTGCCTTGGGAAACCCAGGAGGGGCTGCTATGAGTTGGATCCTACTCGACGGCAATGAATTTAGGTTTTTTTTTAATAGGATAGAGTAGAACTGCATCTCAGGTTTTTCCAAGGCTTTAAATCTTTACAGAAGCACGTTGCCACATCTTTCTACCATGGAGCAGCTGGTGGGTTTGAACAGCTGACCTTTTGGTTAGCAGACGAGTACTTAAACACCACTGCTTCTGACAAATGCTTATACACCTGTGAAGATACACAGTAATTTTTCATTACTCTAGGATAAAGTACCCATCATCCTAGAAAGTTCTCTCATGCCCCTTCCCCTACTTCCTCCTGAGGCTACTATTGTTCTGGTTATTTCAGCATAGATTAGTTTTGCCTGATCTAGAATTTAATTCATAATAAATGGAATCATACAATATATACTTTTTTTTATTATAAAGCTTCTTTCATTTAACATAATGTTTTTGAGATTTATTAATTATATTTAACAGTAGTTTGTTTTCAAAAGTGGTTGTACTATTAAGTGTACGATAATAATGTGTGAAAGTTCCAGTTGATTCTCATTCTTCTCAGTGTTTGTTGTTGTCAGTCACTTTAATTTTAGCTATCTGGCTATATATAGTGATTTCTCAAAGTTTTAATTTCCATTTCCCATACAGATATTGAGTACTTTTTCATGTAGAGATTGGCATTCTTATATTTTCCTTTATGAAGTGTGTGTTCCATTTTTTTTTGCCAATTTTTTATTGCATTTTTTTTTTACTAGTGAGTTAAAAGAGTTCTTAAATGTTCTCATGAGTTCTATCTGTGGGCCCATTGTTAGATATGTGCTTTTCTTTTATGTTTCTGCATTCTGTGTACTGTCTAGGAAACCTTTGTCTACCTCTGTTCTAGACATGAAGATACTCTTTAGTTTTCTCTAGAAATTTCAATTTTAATTTTGACGTTTAAATCTAAGATCCACCTTAAGTTAATATTTATGTATGATGTGAATTTGGTATTGGATTTCATCTTTTTTTTTCCATATGAATAGCAAGTTGTTGAAAGGACTTTACATTCCCTATTGAATTGCTTTGGTGCTTTTTGGTGAAAATTGAGTGTCTTAGTTTCCTAGTGCTGCTGTAGCAGAAATACCACAAGTGGGTGATTTTAAAGAACAGAAGTTTACTTTCTCACAGTTTAGGAGGCTTATTCATTAACTCACTGCTGTCGAGTCGGATCCTACTCATAGAGACCCCTCCTTGGGTTTCCGAGGTGGTATCTCTATGGAAGTAGATTACCCAGTCTTCCTTCCAAGAAGTGGCTGGTGGGATTGAACCGCCATCCTTCTGGTTAACAGTCAAAATACCTTAGGCATTACGCCACCAGAGCTCCTGTTTAGGAGGCTAGAACTCTAAATTTAGGTCTTTGACTCTTCCGTAGCTCCAGCATTCCTCAGTTGCTTGGCAATCTTCATGTGGCATCTGTCTTCCCCTATTTGTGCTTGCATGTTTCTGTGTCTGTGCTGCTTATTATAACAAGTGATTAGCCTTAGGGTACACCCTATACTGCTCAGGCCTCATTAAAATAACAGATAATTCTGTTCTCTATCAGAATTACATCCACAAGTATGTTGTTGTTGTTGTTGTTATGTGCCTCAAGTTGGACCCGACTCATGGCGACTCGTCCTTGGGTTTCCAAGGCGGTATCACTACAGAAGTAGATTACCCAGCCTTCCTTCTGAGGAGTGGCTGGTGTGTTAGAACAGCTAGTCTTCTGGTTAGCAGTCAAGTGCCTTAGGCACTATGCTACCAGAGCTCCTTCCACAAGTATAGGGGTTGGGATTCCAACACATATTTTGAGAGCATGTAGATAGTGAGACTACGTCTCATTTACTTTGGACAACTTAACAGGAGGGGGATCAATCCCTGGATAAGGACATTGTGCTTGGTAAAGGAGAGAGTCTTAAAAAAAAAAAAAAAGGAGGGGAGACCCTCAGTGAGATAGATTGACACAGTGCCTACAACAATGGCTCAAATATAGCAATAATTGTGAGGAATGGCACAGGACCAGGCAGT